ACTTTCTGAAAACAAACTTCACTCTTCGGCTTTCTGTCCCCAAGCCTACGCATGGTTCCTGCAAAGAATAGAATAATTACGATTCCATTTAATATGCAATGCAAACACAAACAGGGTAATAACAATTTTTTTTTGTTTAGATCGTTAAAAATAGCGCGCAGACACGGTAGAATCGACACAAAACTTTATGGCAAATGTGAATATTGTACTGTTTAGGAATTGAAACAAGATCGAAACAACTTTTTTTTTTTTCACGATCGACTGCATTTCAAATAATCATGTGCATATGTGAACATTATAGGAAGTGATTGTCATTTAATTAGCACTTTATATGTATCAGTTCACTCCCTTTTTTCTGTACTCTCAAAAACTCACTGGAGTGTTGTCTTGGGATACCAAATACTACGGAAAAACCGTGTAGTTGTGACAAAAAATGTTTCCCAGTAATAGTGGAATGAAAATCGAAGTTTGTTGTAACGTGACTGTTCTACCTGTGACTAGACGGTCTAAAATCTTGTTAAAAGATTGAATTGAAAGGAATGTTGAGTGCTTTCGTAAATTTGCATGTTGGCCTCAATGTTTAATATCGGTTGCCATACACAAGCTTCAGTAATTTGTTTGTTAGATATAAGGAAAAAAAATTGAAAATCAACGACTTCGAACCTGTTCCCACGTCACAATTCTGGATAAAATTGACAAGAACGTTTCTGCCCCAAAATGGGTAAATATTTCCGTCAACACTTTGGGTTTCGGGTATTTTACAAAAATAATTTTATCTAGACTCGATAAATTAACTGTGCTTTTAACTAAATTAATAAAATGAAGCTGGCAGACACTGTGATCGAGAAGGACTGGGACAGAGATAAGGGCTTCGTTTGCGGTTGCTTACACCAATTAAACAAGCCATTTTTTTTCATGCTTTTTGCAGAGATCGTTTTCGACAGTTAAAAGCTCTTTTTTTTCATGATGGAAAACATCGTTTCCGAGCATGGATGATAGGCGGAATCAAAGAAAAAGCTATTGCTTTTCAAATTTCGTTTTCAAGTATAGCAGAACGATCAGCATTCAACTATTAAATAGTTTTGTGCTTAGAACAGCGTTCAAATTAGAGTCGGAAATAATTCGGATTGCTTTGGTTTCGCCTTATTTCATTGTACGTGTGATTGGCCCAGAAAATTTGCGCTACTTTCTCGACCAATAAGATTTAAAAGTTAAACCTATGACGACTTGGTCACTCGCGTTTTCCCGCCCTTTCAAATTGAATTCTCATTGGCTCGCTCCTTTTCTTCCTCTGCTTAGATCACGATTGGCTGTTGCTGCTACCTTGATTGTGGAATCAAAGCAGTAGACACTGAATCGTTAATAAGATAAGGCCTGCATACGAAACTGAGTCACATTACCACCTTGATACGTTCTCGATGTTTCTATAGTTAAAACCAATTTTAAGAGTTTTATTTTCAGTTTGAAACTGCTGGCCTTGTTGTCAGTGCAAGGCCCACTTCTAAGAATGTTATCTAACAACGGAGGTTATCTCCTATTTTAAGCCTGTAGTGCTTCATATTTTTTTAATCACACGGTCATATGAGCCGCTACTGTCTCGCATAGAGCACAGGCGTGTTGTCAACTTCCACGATTAAAAAAACACCACCAAATGAGAATATATAAAGTGCATTACGTTTTGGCAATAAAATTTGGAGTAAGTTCAAGAACGAATATCATAGACGTGTTGGCAGTAAGACAGTGGTACATTAAAAAAGAAACTATTGTGACCCAAGATTCCTGGTGTTCCTCGCTTAGCGAGTTTCCTCAGGCTATATCTTCCCTAACTTCCCAACGCAAGCTACAAGGTGCACATTACATGCCCCAACACGAATTTCGATAATAAAACAAATAACGCAAAATTATAAACTCTCAATTCAAACATCACAACTCAGAGTTGCATCTCGCGAAAGTTCTAATTTGATAACTTTCGTGAAATCTCTAATCACTGAGGACCTCTTTCAATTCATTTACATGCACAATTTAAATATTCAAATTACCAATGCAAGTCGTCAACAAATTATACTGTAAAACCGTGCTTGGTTAGCTTACAATGTAGAGCGCTGGACTGCCGTGCCGTGGTCTGGCATTGTTATTATTTCCGTGATACAAGCAGCTATAAAGATGAAATGAGTCAGCCTGTCTGAATGACACAAATAAATGAATCAATAAATAAATAAATTTAATTTACTTACAGTTTTAGACGTTTTGGTGATGTTTCTCTTCAACTGAGAATTCCTTCCGCCAAATGATAATTGATTTTAAATAAAACTCTCTGGAAACGAAAACGTTTTAAAAATTTTCGGGAAAATTAACGTCGGTAAGTATGACGATATTACATTGAAATTTAGGTACCGATATGCACTTAGGGGTTTTCCATCCAGTCCAGTTTCCGCGTGGCTTATCAATCATTGTGACCAATCAGAAGACAGGTGGGGGGTCACGTGAGGAGACCGCCTAAAGCCAGATCAATTCAGCCACATGGCGGGCTTATAACACGCACAGTTGTTCTCTCTATTGCCCTAAGCTCTTAGTCGAGATCTTCCATTCTAGAATCTATTTATTCTAAACAAAAAAGGTTGTGGTTATTAATTGTGGTGAAAGTACTGGCAACAAAGTATTTATTTTCTTTCAAAATGTAGTCACTTCAGATATAAATCGCGATATTTTGGCTAATTCTAGTCTTGAGCTTCTTCAGGCGATACGGTCGACTATGTGCGTGTCACCGATGAAGCACGCACGCGCATTCAGTTGGCTTCATAGCCTGAGGGACACAAGACACAAGTAGTGTCAGGGGTGGATTCAGGCGGATAAATAGATTGAGTGAGAAGTCCTGAATTAAAGACTCTTCGTCGAACGTTCTTCTCTCCAAGACTAACAATAAACGATTTTACGATGACTCGAGTTGCGTTTTCCTCGTTAGAGGAGATGGAGAAAGATCAAAAATTTTCCTTGACAACTCCTCTTTAAAAAAAAAGTATTCTCTTTTTTTTTGCGAGGCGCCCATTCACACCAAAGCTCATTAAACATGTTTTAATCTCTTTTGTTAAACACGGAATAATCTTTTTTTAACACTGAAGCTGCTTAAACCGATGTTTGTCGACTTCAAATTAAGCACGTGGAAAATACAAGTTACTGACTTTTTGAAACCAATGTTAAATTCAGTTTTTCAGTTATTTGTTTCTAATTTTCATTCAGTTAAACCCGGTTCAACTAAACACGTTTTGTTGGTGTGCATGAGATAGTATCAATGTAAGTTTTTTTGCAGAAAAGACTTTCTAGCTGGTGTCTACAATCATCCAAGGCCGACTAGTTCCAAAACGGTAAAGGGCTTATCGAAAATTTAATTATTCTTCGACAAGTCTTTTTCTATTGTGCTGATGAGAATTTTTGACAAGTATTCATTGCCAATGTATACAGCGAAAAGAACTTTTTATCTTGATAATTGCCCTTCCCAGCGCAAATCTTAAAATAAATTTTAACTCTAATTTAATTTTTTTTTAATCTTGCTAAGATTGCCAATGTTTCTTCAGAAGAAATATTTAAACGAGTCCTAGTTTTTCTGACCGAATGCCTACGAAAAAGTAGGTCTTCCACAGTGTGAAATGTTTGAAAAAGTGTTGAATCATTTCAACGCTTATACAGTGCCAAGTTTGTCACATCAGCTGAGAAAATAACACGTTTTCGAAAAACAAATTTTGCTAAGTAAACTTTAAAAAAAGATTATTCATTGCCACATGTTCCTTCGTTTTGTCTCGAGAAATGGAGCCGAAATAACGTTTTCGTGGTCGACGAAGTGGAATAAACTGATAACGTTAGTTACTGTGTGAAAAGCAGATCGAGAGTTATTACTTACTGAAAAAAAAAACTGTTGTGCTTTGTAGGCAGGCAAGGAACTGAAACACTTAGTTGATTATTGACGAAAAATTGTTTAGCGTGGATAAATTACCGTCACGTTAGCGAAGTTTTAAAGGGCCTTATTCCCTCATTTGACTCAAAATCAGCTTTTTGAAAATTTATTGTAGGTTATCAATGTTAAACTTTGCGCTAATAATCATTTGAGCGCTTGACTGTAACTCTGACCAAAAAACGAAAAAATACGCACAGTCGACCAAGAACGTTTGTTTCAGTGGTCAGAATTAAAACTACGGAATCTAAGCAATCAGAATCTCTTTACAGAACGAATTTTGTTTTCCACTGGGAACAAAAAAATTAACTGAAAAACACACGTTACCTGAGTAAGTCAGCAGCGCACTAAATAACAATTAAAGGTCATGTTTCGGTCTTAACTCCCCGTCCTTTTGTGGAGAGTCACTGGGGGTCTCTCTCGCTGATGAGCCGTCGTTCTCTTGCATATGGATACCGAGCACTTCCGAAGACACGAAGATAATTGCGAAATGATACGAAGGTCAACAGATCCCAACCGAGCTGGGATGCGAGATATATAGTATTATTCAGATCAAGGTAAACATTACACGCTATTCTATTCATACAAAGTTTCTTTTTTTGCTAACTTTAAATTCTGTCGAAGAAAATGTTTCGAGAAAAATAATTTTCAAGCCATACATGGAATTGCAAAAAAAATTCGGATCAAGAGGTTATAAATTGTTCGGATGTAGAATAAGACTTTGGAATATGATATTGGTTTAAGTGAAGAAATTTCCGAAAATAAATGCTGTCTTGTGAATATCCCCCTGCCCCACCTCATCCCTTTTTAGAAGATTGCTTATCATCACCTTTATGAGGCAGGGTTTGAAGAAACATTGACTGGAGGCACCAAACACACCATGACTAGTTCCGGAGGATCGGCTAAATCTCTTTATCCGTTTTCTCTTTTCCCTTTTTTTTTCAAATAGTTAACAATACTCGTTCAAATAAATGCAAACGGCTTATTCTCATGGCCATAAGTAATCTTCAAGTTCTTTATTGTCGCTTTTTCTTCGCCATAGACTCATTCTACGCACAACTTGGTTACATACTTTTTCCGCTTCCGGTTCCGGCCCAACCTTCACCCTCACTTCCGACGGGGCCCTTAACGCTGAATAGAGACTGGACGCTTACGTACATTCTATTTCCGTCGTACATCTCTTGTAAATCACTTATTGCAAAGGGTTCTTCAAACAATCGGAGAGTATTTAAGTATATTTGCGCTCGATCGTATTTCCATTCAAGGTACAGCGATGGCAAGGATCTTTCGTCGAGCTGCGAATAAGGTTATAAACTCCAGGGATGGTCACGGCTCTCTTGGTCTGCTCATCTTCGACGAAAAAGTTGTGTACGAGAGTTTCCAAAAGCTGATCATTGCAAAAGCGGACGGTAAGTTTCATTTGTGTTGGAAAGCGTTGTTTACGGGATATTTTCAGCATTGGCTTACTGACTTAGGCATTAATGCTTGGAGAATAGATCTGGATCGCTGTCGAGAGTTTCTCGTGTACAAAATTTCAGCTCAAACAGGCTTCTACTTGTTTAGAATTTTTTTGTTACGAGTTTTGTAATCAGAAGCCATGTAGCTTGTCACGCACCGTTGACTCTGTTTCAATTCGAAGTTTCGATCAGGTGGCAAATTAGTGAATATTAGACGATCAAGCCTTCTTCAGCAAGTCTCACTCGAATTCTCAATAGAACGATTCATATTAGCGTGGTGCTGTCGCTTTGAACTTTGAATTTGCCACGATAACGTCAAGCTTCGATACTCCAAGATGTATTACCGGAAGCTAGGGGATATTTAATCGAGTGAAATATGTCATTAGTTAGAGTTGCAATTGAATTTTTTTCCTGAGACATCGAATATCCGCTTATTTAGATTTAGAAAGGAATTTCGCCATGTTTGGTACGAATAATAATGGTTGATGTGAGAGAAAATAAACAGGAGAGTCCAAGGGTTAAGCAAGTGACGTAAGTGAAGGTTTCTTATGGGGACTCCCCTAGCAGAGGATTTTTGAGTCATGAATGCGCATTTATAGTTTTTCTCACTCTCAGGAGTGATCAAGGTTAAATTTTTGTGCGAGATCAATACCTTCACGTGTAGACACATTTCTGTTTCTCTAAACCAATATATGAGGAAAATGAAACAGTCAGGAGGATGAACTACTAATCACAGAAAGGTTGGCACTTTCAGTCAGAGTGAATTTTTTTTATTTCTATCAAAGTTTTCAGTTTCTGGATAATATATGCTTGTGCATTGTAGGTTACAGTCTCCCACCCTCCCCAAGAGTGACCAGCCTCTAATTTCTCCATACAATATCACCCCTGAATCAAACATTCAAGTCATGAGAATTAAGAAAATGATCCCCAAATAAATATAATCTTGATTGTTAAATAAATTATTTGTCAGCATCTTAGGAATTGTACAGAGAACAGTATAGAGAATGTGCATACTGATGTTAGAACACAAAGCGCTTGGTCAAGGGATCTCCCTCTTAACCCTAAGATCACCTTTAACACATGCCATAAATCCTTTACACTCTTACATCAGTATGCAAGTTCTCAATACTGTTCTCTACACATTTTTTATGATACTTATAAGTAGAATTTATCAACCAACAATCAAGAGCTTCTTGAGTTCACAATTGTCTTCTTGATCCTCATGACCTTAATGTTTGATTTAGGGATGTTACTGTTGGGAGAAATTAGATACATATTTGTTAACATAAATGATTCATCTCCCACAGCATCCTTAGGTATGTTAAAATGGGCCAAGAATGAAGATAATCTCGCTCTGCAGGATGTGTTCAGCAAAGTGTTTGAGGTGTCCACAATGTGGACGACAGTTATGAAGGATTTTACGGAAGAGGTATTTATAATATTTGTACTTCTTAATCTTTATTATTTCTTAAACAAAAATATATTTTCAAATTATTGTGTTGCTTTATAGGGAAAGTAATTGTTAATCCTTTAAGTCCCATGAGCAACCAAGAC